CTGGACTAAAAGCCAGGAAACTATGACTGAGGTCTGAAGTTCAACCTGGAAATTTTGCTGGTCACAATCTTTCATCATTCACTTTCAATCAACCTTGCAAGAATGAGACTATAGAAGCAGAAAGGCAAGATATAGAAGGAATCAATAACAAAATCTATGAAAAGCTTTACTGGATCAGGTTTCTGTCGTCCAGCTTTCAGTAGCCAGTCAGATGCATTTAGGAAACTCATAAGCATGTCAGAAGGGTAAGACCTCAATTCCACTGATGCCCCCTTCCTGTGGGTCTATAGAATAGTAATGAAGAATTTTGGAAGCAATCCACAGCCACCAAGACTGATAGTCTGATCCTCCATGCATTTGTTCAATCCCCATTTAATATATGACCCATCATCATATTTCATAGCACCAAACTCCCAATGTTCAGCCATATGTTATATAACCAAGTGCTTTTTAAAATCTGTCCTGAATTCAATGTATTTAATGAATAGTATAAGGGAGAGGAAGAAAAGAGAGCCAGTTTGGTCTAGTGCGGGGGTAGGCAACCTTGGCTCTTTTATGACTCATGGACTTCAACTCCCAGAATTCCTGAGCCAGCCATGCTGAGGGGAAAGGGAGAGGTTTCTAAGCTGAGCCATGCTGACTCAGGAATTCTGGGTGTTGAAGTCCACAAGTCATAAAAGAGCCAAGGTTGGGTTAAAGAACCAGGTAGAAAGCAGGAGGCTGAGAGTTCTAATCCTGCCTTAGCCATGAAAGCCAGCAGGGTTACCTTAGGCCAATCATCAGGAGACTGTGAGTTCTAGTCCCTCCTTAGCCATAAAAGCCAATTGGGTTACCTTGAGCCAATCACTGTCTCTCAGTCCAACCCACCTCACAGGGTTGCTGTTGTGGGGAAACAGGAAGAGAAAGGTATGCTGGATATGTTTGTTGCCTCGAGTTATTTGTAAAAATAATAAAGGTGGGCTATAAATAAATCCTCCAAATGTAGCGTGAAATGGTATCATGGATAATCATGACAATAATAATAACAAGAGCGATCAAGCACAGAACATAATTTTACACTTCTAAAGCAAAACCAGGCTATACATCTAACCATTTTGTGTGACAGTCATGTCCAGGGATAGGCAACCTTGGCTCTTTTATGACTCGTGGACTTCAATTCCCAGAATTCCTGAGCCAGCCATGCTGGCTCAGGAATTCTGGGAGTTGAAGTCCACGAGTCATAAAAGAGCCAAGGTTGCCTACCCCTGCATGTCCCTAACAGGTTCTACTGAGGTAGCTAGCTAATCTTTCATGGACAAACAATTCTGTTGTGGCATTTGAACACTAGCCCAGTTGTTGCAGGAATGAGATGAAACAGTTAAAGTGCGAAACAATTAAAGTGCTTTTTTTTTTTAATTAAGACTGAAATCGTATAATGTCTGCAAATATGTTTTAGGGGACATCTCTGAATTTAAAATGTGAAGAAATACATTTCTTAATGAAAGAGAAATCTTTCATTAAGTCAGCCTTGAATCGCCAATTCTATACTTTGGGGAAACTCCTCAAAATTACAATATAGGATGCAATCAGTGGCTCTGCAGCAAGTTAAATTATGCTGGCAGACAGCTAGAGCAGATCTTTCAATACAGCCATTTTATCATCCCTATGTTTCGAATGGGTTAATAACCTAACCACCATATTTTTTTCATCAGTTGCAACCCCTGAATACTTTCCAAGGACAATCCCAAATAGTCAAGATAGGATGTAACGTCTGGAAGGGTCATAGCTGGCTCACCAATTGTTGTGCAAATATGCTTTTTGCCACAGTTGTCATCAGCTTTCTGAGGGAGTGCAACCCATCCAAAATCCACGTTCAACTTTCTCCTAACAGTATCTTGTCTGGATTTAGTATCAGCTTGTTCTGCTCCTCTAAGGAGATTAAATTATTATCAAATTTAAGCAACATTCAAAGGTGCAAACTGCTAATGGTAAAGAGCAACAGAGCTTCATGAGCACATTGGTGGCACTCCATCCCTGATCTGCTGGTGATTATACCCAGTAGTTTCATGTAGATGTTAGACAACTTAGGGACAAGATAGAACCCTATGAGATAATGCAGGTCTACTGGACTACTGCAATGCGCTCTACATGGGGCTACCCTTGAAAAGTATTCGGAGACTACAGTTGGTCCAGAATGCAGCCGCGCAAGTGATAGTGGGTGCTCCTCAGTACACCCACGTTACACCTATCCTCCGTGAGCTGCACTGGTTGCCTATTGGTCTCCGGGTCCAATTCAAGGTGTTGGTTATTACCTTTAAAGCCCTATATGGCTCAGGGCCAGGCTATTTGCGAGACCGCCTACTACCTCATAGTTCCCTTCGTCCGGTTAGATCCCACAGGCTGGGCCTCCTTCAGGTCCCGTCAGCCAAGCAGTGCCATTTGGCGGGGCCGCAGAGGGTTTTCTCTGTGATGGCGCCCACGTCTTGGAACCATCTCCCCCCGGAGATTAGGACCGCTCCCACCCTGTTGGTTTTCCGTAAGCTGCTCAAGACCTGGCTTTTCCGGCAGGCCTGGGGTTTATAAAATCTGACCCCTGATGACTGTTCTTGTGGTGTTTGTTTTGTTATGTTTTATGTGTTTTTATTGTTAGCCGCCCAGAGTCCTCCGGGAGGCTTATAAATTTTAAAAATAAATAATAAATAAATAAATAACGTAGGGATTGATAGTAATTCCTCAACAGCATCTTCTGGGTGCATTTGAACAGGAGGGCCCTACGATCCAACCTCCTCAAATAGTCTCAGAAGATATGAAAGTTGGGATTGAAGATACTAGAACTGATGAACCCAAGAGAACCATGTTGCACTGCCTCCATTTAGTTTCTGGCTTAGGTCATCCACCAGGGTGACCAAAGGAAGCCTCAGAACCATATCTGGGGTGATATGGAAATGGAATATAGACAATCAGTTTCTTCCAGATGCATCTGGAGCTATGAGGTCTTCACTTCTCAATGTCCTTACCACTGGAAGATTAGAGACTTAATTTGTCATTATAAAGATCTTCTGTGTCCAGGAACCACAACAATTTTTTTAATAAAGACTGCATTAATAACTCTTTTAAAGAAGTATAATCTCCACTACACAATGGAAAGTTTTCTTTAATTTGTTTTTATGCTTATAACACATTTCTTCTCTGAAAGATCAGAAGATTGACAGGAGGGCCTCTCCTCAATTTATCTCCAGAATGTGAAATAAGCTCTGTTGGAAGAAAACAACTAGCCCAAAGCCACCTCCTGAACTTCAAGGATATGTAGGACCTTGAATTTAGGATTCACCTCCCCACACATATACACACCGGTCACACATAACACATTCATATTTTATACTCCGCTTCCTTGTAATGGTAACCACAACAACAGATGGAGAAGGTGGGATCCAGGAATTAAGACTAGGAGATGAAGGAAGAAGGATAAAGGTCAAGGTTATTGAGAAAGTGACAGAGCAACCAAGGGGATGGGGTTGGTGAGGAACACAAAGCTGAGCACTGGCAGAAGGCAGAGAGAGGTGCAAGACTGTACAAAACCCCAAAAGAGCAGACAAATAGGGAGGAGGAAGCAGAGAGTAACAGTGAAACCACCTGTCAAATAGGTAGTACAATGTTTGGGTCTTGGCTCCTTTAAGAACCACAGAGCTAACCTGGACTTTTAATCTTTTTAATATAAATATATACATTTGTGGCTCAATGAAGCATTCAGGGTCTCAATATCAAATTCTGTAACACAGATACCTGATAACTTTGTCAGGATTCAGCAGTGCCATGGGATTCATCTAAAATCCACACTAAATATCACACAAGAGCAATACCCAAGAAGAAACAAATTTTGGAGCAGTCTTGTGACAAACTGGATTATTTTGCAGGATTGCCAGGCAACCATCTCTCTCCCCCTCCTAACCCAAAGGGCATCAGAGGACTTAAGTATCTTGATGGGCTACCTTATCTTACAGCCCCTCTTCTTCTCATTATGAAATATATAGATAAACAATGATAGATCCACCTACACATAGTGGCAGGGTCACTTTGTTTGAACCGAGAAAGCAAAATTAATCTTAGAAGTATTACCAACTCTTATCATCTGTCCCACTTTTCATTTTTCAGCCAATACATTACTATATAACTGTATTTATATCCCAAGCTGCAATTTCAAAATCAAGGAATTTTTTTTTTTTAGGTGCCGAAAATTGTTTCTCAGCAAGGAAGATTAAAACAAACTAACAAAAAAAACCCTTTCTCCAGGCAGTATTTGTGCCAACTATTAACACCATTTGTTCAAGGGCTAACAACACTGCAAAGCAGGAAGAGCCTTATATAAGAGACAGAAAGGTGACTTCAGATTTTGCTTTATAACTCTGTTTCTACAAGGGCTAAAAGCTAGCCCTTTTTTAAAAATATGAAAACAGGGGATTTTGGCAATTATTGCTTATCTTGGAAGGCAAGTTCATAGCAAACTCTTCTGCCAGCTGAAACGGGCAATGCTCAACTAGACTGAAAATATTCTTAATCTAATATCAGGAGAAGATCTATGTTCCAAATTCATTTCCTTCAAGCACAGGGGGTCTCCAAACTTGGCAACTTTAATGCTTGTGGACTTCAACTCCCTGAATTCCTCAGCCAGCCATGGGGAATTCTGGGGTTTGAAGTCCACACATCTTAAAATTGCCAAGTTTGGAGACTCCTGTTTCAATCTAGAGCAGGGGTAGTCAACCCTGGCTCTTTTATGACTCATGGACTTCAACTCCCAGAATTCCTCAGCCAGCTGTGCTGGCTCAGGAATTCTGGGAGTTGAAGTCCACGAGTCATAAAATAGCCAAGATTGACTACCCCTGCTCTAGAGCATCACTGAGCACATTCTTTTTTTAAAAAAATACTCTGTTCAAAATATGCTGGCACAGAGAAAAAAATAAATCAAGAGGAAGGAAGAGGCAGGGCTAAAGGTAGATTGACAAAAGCATCAGTGTTATTATTACCTGTCTAGGTGTGAGCGTTATCACCAGATATACCTTCAGAATCAAAATCTGTTTTGCTTTTAGGTCCTGTTTCGTTCCAACTCTCTATGCAGTCTGAAGCAGAATCGTCATCTATAGTCAGCTGCACCCAATTTACACCACTGGCATTGGGTTTTTCTTCACCACCCTGACTATTTTGACTAATCTGAGCATCAGGCTGTTCTGGACTTTCTGCGCTTAGCTTCTCAACTTTCTGGATCTCCTTGTTGGGTAGCTGAACTTCGTCATGATTATTCTTTGGCCCAGGTGGCTTTGGACCCTTAGTTTCTGCACAGCCATCAAGGACGCTCTGCTGTTGATGTTGGTCTAGCCATTTTAAGGTCCCCATTCTTAGTGAGCTCCTGTTCTCCTTGAACCAACGGACTATTTCTGTTCTGGTGAGTCCCGTCTGAGCTGCCAATTCATCATACTCCTGTGGAGAAGGCCACTGAGTTCTAATAAACATATTCTTCAGTAAGCGGACCTGCTCTTGACTGCTTGGAGCAAAAGCTGTGGAGCACTTGGGCAAAGAGGTTGGAGGTTGGGAGATGGTGACCTGCTCTGTTTGATTGATTGCACCATTGGAAGCAACTGGGTCCTTATTCTTTATACTTGATCCCATTGAGTCTAAGACAGCTTGTTCCATATTATCCCTAAGTTTTCTCCGCTCAGCAAACCAGCATTCAACCTCTTTTCTGGTCATCCTGGCATCGGTCCTAAGTCTTTCCAACTCAATATGTGTCGGAAAAGAGTTTTTAAGGAAACTTTCTTCAAGGATTGCAATTTGTTTTTGAGTTTTTCCTTTGAACTGCTGGAAAATGAAGTCCGGATAGGGATGATAGGTGGGGTCCTGCCGCACGCTACCTCCTAGCGCAAGATGGTCCTTGGCTACAGATTCACTTGTGATATGGCTAATTCCCCGCTGACTCCGGTAACGATAGTCACTGAACCACTTCTTGATCTCACTCCTTGAGAGCCCAGTGACTTCAATTAGCCTGTAAATTTCTGCATCGTCAGGAAACTGGGTGACAATGAAGCTTGCTTTCAGAGCCGCAATCTGTTCCTTGGTTTTTTTGCGGTCGCTGGTTGACGTTGGCAGCACAGTAGAGTGTGGCATTGTTGCGGTGCTTATGGGTGCAGCAGACACGTTCTGTTTGGGCAAGAATTCTGTTGGGTTGACATGCTGACGTTTGGCTTCTGGGACAGCCAGCTGGTTCTGCACACCCCGTTTCTGACTCTGGTTGGCTGCCACAGCGAGGGTAATTGGGGGAATGTTTGATCCGTTTGAGACTTGGGTCAGTACTAGGCCGGTCTGACTGAGTATCTGACAAGGCACAGCTGTCTGAATCAGTGGCTGTGGCATCTTGGCTGTGGCAACATGAGCTGGGAGAACAGCAATCGTCTGGTGTGTTGGCTGGATGGTGCCATTGAACATCTTCTTCCTTGCCTCTTCCACCTCTTCAGGAGACCAGCTGATGCCGTGCTTCAAACGTTGAGTGGCAAACCAAATTCGAATCTGTTCTTCAGGGTGCTTGGAGGCGGCCGTCAGCCATGACAATTCTGCTTGTGTAGGATACGGAAACTTGTTGAAGGAGCTGATCATGGTAGAATTAGTGTCTAGTGCAGAATTGTATTTGGTACTATTCAGGGGAACGGGGACTTTGGGAACTAGGTTGATATTTGGCGGGAGCTGTACAGAGGGCATCACGTGGGCCAGGATATCTTGGAGGACATCTGCTCCATTAATACATGTAATTGGCTCAGTGATCTCTGGAAGAAATGGAGGAATCCCATCAAGATGGTTGTCCACAGAAGCTTTCTTGGTCTCACCTTTAAGTTTTCCTATGTTAATGATCTGTGTTGCTTTGTTTGTATCACCTACCCCTTCATAGTCAGGGGTTTCAGCCACATCTGGGTTGCCTGTCACCTCGATGGATTGTTCTAAGACAGTCTGATTGTTGAGCTTGATTAACTTAAGCTTAAAATTGACTTCTCCTGGATGGAGGTTGGTGTTATGCTCAGATAAGGAGTCATACTTTTTGGTTGTGAAGTTACATTCAGAGCATACGTAGAGGGGGTTGAGAATCACATTGGGGTGTTGCGTATCTATATGCTCCGTGAATTCATTCAGGTTCTGGGTGGAGAATGGGCAGTACTTACATTCGTAACCACCAAGGGATTTCCTGGTTGGGTTGGCTGGAGATGATTTCCCCTCGATCACTTCACAGTCGTTCTCAAAAACATCCTTGCTGGCTGTCAAATTATTACCTAAATCCTGCTTAGGAGCACCAGGTGCTTTTCCTGCACTGCAGTCCATGGAATCACTGGACTCCGTAGCTCCAGAGGCTCGTACCATACATGGAGTTGTTGACTTCCTTTTGCTTGCCATGACCGCTGTAGAAGTGCCCTTGGAAGCAACTGTCCCAAAGGTTCCCTCTTAAAAGCTTTTAGCACTTCTAGGAATAATCCCAGGCTGGACTCTAAAGGAGTCTAGTGCCATCCATGGCTTTTGGTCGTGACCCACCATACAAAGTGGTCTGCATTACACCTGCATTACAAAACAAGACACACATTGTTAAAATGTGCACAGCTTCTTCCTCCCTGAAGGCAGAAAGGGCAATCATAGCCTGCTTTAAATTCTGCCTTTGGAAAGGCCAAAAGTTACCAATTGCACGTAGTCCTCAGCTTACGGCCAGAATTGAGCTCCAAATTTCTGTTGCTAAGTGAGACAGTTACGACCTTGCTTGCCACAGCTGCTAAGGGAATCCACTGCAGTTGTTAAGTTAGTAGCAAGGTTCTTAAGTGAATCTGGCTTCCCCATCGACTTTGCTTGTCAGAAGCTCTCAAAAGAGGATCACATGACCCCGGGACAATGCAACCGTCATAAATACATGCCAGTTGCCAAGCGGCTGAATTTTGATCACGTGACCATGGGGATGTGACAATGCTCGCAAGTATGAAAAATAATCCTAAGTCACTTTTTCAGTGCCATTATAACTTTGAACGGTCACTAAACAAACGTAAGTTGAGGACTACCTGTATTTTCAAACCTAGTTGCCTCCCTTGATGGTTGGGGGTCAAGGGAAGTGGGTGCATTTGAATACTGAATGCTGGGGCATCCTTAAGTACTTACTGTTATTGGCTTGGACTGCCCTATGCCTTCCTGAAATTATGATCCCCTGGGCCAGATTTTCCCTTGGAGATAGGCTTTCAAACATCGGCTTCATTTTCTTGTCTCCCCCTTCTCTTCTCTTCCTTTTGTTTAATCAATGGGTATAGGCCATATAGACATTTATAGTGTCCAATATTCTGTGCCAATTATTTTCAAATATTGGATGTCACTTTGAGCTTTCAGTCAGGTTTGCACATTCCTCAAAACTACTCACAGCCTTGTTTGCCTCAGTACATAACCACTGGAGGGAGAGGTTTCCAAGTTGAGCCATGCTGGCTCAGGAATTCTGGGAGTTGAAGTCCACGAGTCATAAAGCGGCCTAGGCCTAGGCCAGGGGTAGGCAACCTTGGCTCTTTTATGACTCGTGGACTTCAACTCCCAGAATTCCTGAGCTGGCCATGCATGTCTAGTTTAATGAAGTGAAGGACAAGGGGAGATGATAGCAGTCTTCCAATATCTCAGGGGCTGCTACAAAGGAGAGGGAGTCAAGCTATTCTCCAAAGCATCTCAAGGCAGGACAAGAAGCAGTGGATGGAAACTAATCAAGGAGAGAAGCAACCTAGAACTAAGGAGAAATTTCCTAACAGTGAGGACAATTAACCAGTGGAACAACCTGCCTCCATGAAGCTGTGAATGCTCCAACACTGGAAGTTTTTTAAAAAGAGACTGGACAGCCATTTGTCTAAAATGGTATAGGGTTTCCTGCCTGAGCAGGGGGTTGGACTAGATAACCTCCAAGGTCCCTTCCAACTTTATTATCATCATCATCATCATCATCATCATCATCTGCTGTAAGTTGACTACCCGTATCCTTTTAATAATAGTGTCAAGAAAGCTAATCAGGCTTTTTGCCCTGGTTAGTAATTAGATGGTGATTAACTGAAAAGTCCAGGGGGATATATGAGATAGGAAAGAGTCAAGAAATATGCTGGAAAAAAGCAAAAGTAAACAAATTTTATTAGGCTGCCAAGAAAATGCATCCAAGTATCCCATGTATCTCATCTGGTCTCATGAATGACCCAACAATAACTTGGCTTATTAAAAAGAAATCTATAACAATTTAATCTCAGGGAAATTCATACCCCAGAACATTTTTCATTTATTTTATAACAAGCATCCTAAAGGTCTTTAACCCAACCCAAATGCATGAAATATATCTGCCAGATGAGCCTCAATTCCCCAATGCTCTGTCTCCAGCTGCTTTTATTTATTTCAAATGAAAGGGAGCGTATTAAGATTTGTTCTACCTCCCCACAACACGGCTGGTGACCACTTAACTATTAATAAATCAATAAAGAAACAGGATTGTCAGAGGATGTTTTAACATGTTTTCCTTAATGTGCTCTCAATGAGACACGACTGCTGCATAAGGCAGAAAACTCTGCAGGAAGGAACAATTAGATTACCAAGATACTAGTATGTTTTATTGGAGAAAAACATGTACCAGAAAATTTAACAGTCCCGAAGTTTTGCATGATTGCAGTTTTGGCTTCGTAAACAAAGCATATTAAAACACCAAGATAATATCCAATCCCCGAGATATCCCAAAGGTGCTTTTTCACAAGGCACCTGGACTTTGTGTTTTTTTTTTTTTTTTTTTGAAGATGTTTCACTTCTCATCCAAGAAGCTTTTTCAGCTCTGACTGGATGGTGGGGAATGGAAGGATTTATGTTCCTTGCATATAGCTGGTCATTTGCATTCTTTTAAAGAGTTGTAAATTTAAAGATTTATCTGTGTCTTTAGGATCACCTGAGTAGTGCAAATGGGTGTGGAGCCTTCCTGGAACTGCTGAAAGGACTGTGTTGTAGATTGGAGATACATGATGTCGTATTCCTTCCCCCTCTGCTGAGTGGGCTGTTCAGTTTTGACATAGAGGGCCTCCTTGACTCTTGTTTCAAACCAGCGGTCTTCTCTGTCCAAAATTTTTGACCAGCTGTCTGCAAGGAGTATAAATCCTTCCATTCCCCACCATCCAGTCAGAGCTGAAGAAGGTTCTTGGATGAGAAGCGAAACATCTTCAAAGAAAAAAAAAAAAAAAAGAAATTCCAGTGAAAAAGCCCTTTTGGAATAACTATCACCTGGATGACTGAGAATCTCTTTTGATAATCCCTGGGATAGGACTGCAATATTTAAAATGACTGTGGATACCGAACGTGTAAAACTGGGGGGGGTCTTCAAACTGGACCCTTTTGTGACTTGTGGACTTCAACTCCCAGAATTCCTCAGCCAGTGTGCCTGGCTGAGGAATTCTGGGAGTTGAAGTCCACAAGTCATAAAAGGGCCCAGTTTGAAGACCCCTGGTGTAGACAGTTGCATATCACGGCAGCCCATTTTCAAATACCTATTTTTTCCACTGGTGGATGGAGCAACTCAGAATTATTAAGTTTAAAAATTCTAAATTGATCCTAAGGTAGTTTCTTGTAGTTGGTTTCAAGGGTTGTAAAGTATGGTAGATACAGGTAGTTCTTGACTTACAACCGTTTGTTTAATCACTATTCAAAGTTACAACAGCACTGAAGAAAGTGACTTTATGACCGTTTTTCACATTTATGAATGTTGCAGCATCCCCATGGTCATGTGATCAAAATTCGGACTTTTGGCAACTGGCATGTACCTATGAAGACTGGAATGTCCTAGGGTCAAGTGATCAAATTTTGCAACTTTCTGACAAGCAAAGTGTCAGTGTGTTACTAAACAACTGCAGTGATTCACTGAACTACTGTGCCAAGAAAGATTATACAATGGGGCAAAACTCAACTTTGGACATTTTGAGGCTGCCCATTGGCAAGGCAATTGTCAGCCCTTCAAAGTAGACCACACTGGAAAACCAACGTCATACAGGCCAATATTTTTTTTATTGCAAAGTTAGAATAGTAACAGAATCTTGCAGGTTTGGATGTGCCTCCCCCCTCCCTCCCTTTATCTTCATGTGAACTAGTATCAAACCTAGTTCAGGTCAGCGGCTCCCAACTTTTTGGGCACCAGGGACGGGTTCTATAGAGAGAGGTTTTTCCGTGGACCGGAGGGGACGTGGTTTTGTGTGCTGCCTGCATCCCGCGGATGGGGCTTTGCTTCTTTGCGCGGACCGGTTTCTGGCATGCTGTGGACCAGTGCCGGTCTATGGTCCCGGGGCTGGGGACCCCTGTTCTAGGTAGTCCAGACAGGAAAGAAAACCCTTTACTACTAATACTATCTTTGTTGTAAGATTACAGTAAAAAAAAAAACCCATGCAAGTCTAAAAACATTTCCTCCCTTCCTTGCCTTTATATTCCAGAATGGGACAATTCACCTCAGCCAACTTGCCACGGTCAACTTGCCACAGGACCAGTGGTGGGATTCAGCCAGTTTGCATCAGTTTGGCAGAACCAGTAGCTAATTTTTTGTTGCCCAGGCTCAGAATGAACTTCCGGAAGGGGCATCCATGCAGAGAATCGGTTGTTCACATATTTGAATCCCACCACTGCACAGGACCAACTCGCCACAGGATAATTGCTGTGGGATAATTCAACAATTCAATGTAATTATTTAAGATAGTTAAAAGTTATTTTAATTGTTGTCATTCACACTTCATTTTGTCTCTCCTCTGGCATTATTTCCTTAATGATTCTAATGTTTCTTCAATATTAGTGTAACTCTTGTCCCGTGGCAAGTTTTCCCTTGGTGAGTTGGCCATGCCAAATTATCCCGTGGCAAGTTGGCCGTGATGAGTTGGCTGTGGCCAGTTGTCATAGACCAGTGTTTCTCAACCTTGACAATTTTAAGGCACGTGGACTTCAACTCCCAGAATTCCACAGCCAGCAATGCTGGCTGTGGAATTCTGGGAGTTGAAGTCCACGTGCCTTAAAATTGTCATGGTTGAGAAACACTGTCATAGACCCTTTACATTCTATCAAGCTAAAAGAGGCAAAGGTATCCCTGTCAGTTGTATCCAACTCTAGAACGCAGTGCTCATCTCCGTTTCTTGGCTGAGGGAGCCAGCGTTGTCCAAAGATACTTTCCGTGGTCATGTCGCCTGCATGGCTATAAGCCAAAGGCGCATGGAATCCGTTACTTTCCCACCAAAGTGGTATCTATTTATCTACTAGCATTTGCATGCCTTTGAACTGCTAGGCAGGCAGGAGCTGGGGCAAGTAACTGGACTTCACCCTGTTGCGTGATGCTCGGGTCTTGAACCTGTCAGCTCTCCAGCTCACAAGCTTAGTGTCTTAACTGCTGAGCCACAGCAAAAATGGTTAATTATGAGATGCTTTTTCCATTCCCATTCCTGCTTGGATTCAGATTTCTCTTATTAGACCATTGTCTAAGCCACGGGTAGGCCCAGCTGGCTCAGGAATTCTGGGAGTTGAAGTCCACGAGTCATAAAAGAGTCAAGGTT